ACTTGGAGGAAGAACAAGTTTCCATGTACCCTGAGACTTTAGGGCATCATATTCATCCTGCATAGCTTTTTGCCATTGAAGGACTGTTGATGCAGCTTTAAAAGTCATTGGTTCCTCTACTTTATGTATGTCAGCCAAGAACGAAAAACCGCATGATATAGAGCTATTTGACTCCCTAGTATCACCATTCAGAAACTGAAGAGATTCTAGTTGAGGTAATGTAGCCAGAAATGATGTGTAATCTCTCCTCATGATAGCACCAGTCTTAAGTCGAGTTTGAATAACATTATTTTGTGACTGAGATTGAGAGTGTGTTTGTGATGGAGGCAAAGAAAGAATTACCTGAAGCTGAGCAGGATCAAGGACAGGAAGCAAGAGACCTGCATGTGGAGATGAGGAAATAGTTTTTGTAAATGCTTGTGTTTCAAATCCCAGTGTTTTATAACTGCCTATGTTCGAAGAAGAAACTGGTGTCTGTGCATCATGATGAACTGCAGTGGATGAAGAACTATGAACAATCCCATTACCAGAAAAAGATTCTTCCTGACCGTTTCGAGGACTTGAATTTCCATGATTTGAAGATCTCTGTTGCACTGGAATAGGTACCACTATACTTCTATACTGAGATTGAGTTGGAATATGTTCTTGAACTGTAGATTTTAACAGTGCATAAGGAAATACACTTTCATAAAAAACAACATGTCTTGAGATGATATATTTCTTATTCTAAACATTGTAACAAATCACACCTTTATAGCCTATAGAATATCCTAAGAACACACATTGTGCAGATCTAGGTTGTAACTTGTGTACAAAATAAGGTCTTAACCATGGGTACACTGCGGAACCAAACACTTTCAAACTTTTCAACTCTGGAATCTTGGCAAACAATTTCTTATAAGGTGAATCCATAGACAACCCTTTACATGGCATTCTATTAATTAAGAATACAGCATGTGCACAAGTATATTACCAAAAATCAATTGGCAATGCAGCTTGAACAAGAAGAGTAATGGCAGTTTCTACTATATGTCTATGTTTTCTTTCAACTACTTCATTCTGTTGAGGAGTGTATGGGCAGGAAATCATGTGTTCAACACCTTTTGCATCAAGAAAAGCTTTAAAAGAATGACTTGTGTACTCACCCCCTCCATCAGTTTGTATACATTTAATGACAACACCAAACTGTGTATGAACAAGATTATAGAATTTCAGAAAAATGCTAAACACATCTGATTTGTTATACATTGGAAAAATCCAAGTATATTTTGTATATTGATCAACAAAAATTACATAGTATTTATACCCCTCTGCTGTTTTCACTCGAGAAGGACCCCATACATCTGAGTGCACCTTTTCAAATGGTAAACAATACCAATCACTGCTAGGAGAAAAAAGAAGTCTACACATCTTTCCTTGAATACAATGGGTACATATACTATGACTTTCATCTAATTCTAGTGGTATGTTTGACTATCTTAACATGATAGACATTATTTCATTAGTCGGATGACCAAACCGTTGATGCCACAAAGTTGAATTTACTAATTGCCCAAGAAAAACAGAAGGTTCCTGAACCACAGATTGTGCTCCTCTTGAATTCTTGATAACAAGGATTTGAAACAATTGTCCGGCTCTACTATTTCCTCTGTACAGGATGTCCCTTGTCTTCTTGTCCTGCACAAAAAATTCATTCTCATCACAAATAAACCAACTATGATTGTCAACACACAATTGTTGAACATATAGCAAACTTCGAGCTATTTTTGGTACATGTAAAACATTGTTAAGAACAAGGTTATGAGAGTTGGTTTTAATTGTAGTTGCACCAGTATTTGCAATAGATAAACCTGTCCCATTGCCAATTGTGATTGTATCAGAACCTTGGAATGGTGTGACTTGACTCAGTGTGTTGACATCAGCAGTGATATGGTGAAATGCACCAGTATCAACAATCCATGCATCCTGAGGAATATGATGTTCTGTTTGCTGTGTTGCCATTGCTGTTAAAGTGGAAGATGGTTGTTGACCCTGGAAAACATAGTTCCCCCTGTGATAACATTCAAGTGCTGAGTGACCATGTCTCCCACAAATCTGACACTCCATTTGAAACCCAGTACTTTGACCATGACCATTTCTGTGAAAACAATTAACTGCAGTATGTCTTCTTTTGTTGCAAATCTAACATTCAATTACTGTAGTGGACCTGTTCTCAGTATTCCCATGCCACCCACTTGAACCATATTGTCTTGAACTACCAGATGAATATCCAGAGGAAGAACCTGTATAGTATCCCTTACCTTTGAAATCAGTGTTAGACTTATAACCAGGATTACCCTTATAATTTGGCTTTTGCATAAATGGAGGTTTTGGACCAGAATTTGGAGCATTGCCCATATATCCAAAACCATAAGGAATAGAAGGGTGAACTGGAGCAGGAAACTATTAAGGTATTAAGGGTTGTGGGTATTGCTGTGGGAGGACAAATGGTGATGAATATTGTTGCATATAAGGATCAGCAGAATAAGGGTATTGACAAGAAGTAAGAACACCCCCGGTTGTTGCTGGTAAATGGCTATGCCCTGTAGGATTAGAACCCGAAGCTGATGAATCACCCTGAGTTGGCTGAGACCCTTGAACATATAAGGTAGAAAGATTATGAGACACACCATTTGATTCTCCTTCAATTTCTTTTTCAGCCCCAAGCAACAAAGCCCTAAATTCTTTCAAAGAAATAGAAGACTCTCTAGCTAATATTACTGTTCGAATTGTGGCATATTCTTTTGGTAACCCAGCTAACACAACAATTATCACATCATTATCAGAAATTAGTTCTCCAGCACCAGTTAACTGTTCCCTTATATTTTTCAACCTTAACAAATATCTATCAATTGAATCTCATCCTTTATGAATTGTATGCAATTCAGTCTTTAGATGGTTGACTCTAGATTTAGACACTGAAGCAAAATGATCCACAAGATTTGACCAAGCCTCACACGTAGTTACACAACCAAGAACATAGTCAATAGCCTCATCAGACAAAGTAGCTAATAAAAGACTCAACAATGCCATATCTGTGGATTCCCAATCAACATAAGCATCAGTAAGTTCAGAAGTAACACATCTCTCAGTATGAATGACAAATTTTGGTGGACACACAATAGTACCATCAAAATGCCTAAACAATTTATGACCTTTCAACACGGACTTAAACTGAAATGCCCATTTCACAAAATTATCTTCCTTCAATTTTATAGTAATCATTCCCAGCATATTTTCAACCTTCACACTAGGATTAGTCATGATTTCTCAATGCAACAAACAAAATCGTTCAAGAATCTACAAAACACCCAATTGTTCTACAAAATGAATTGATGGAGAGACTGAAACTCCCGCAGTAATCAAGAAATACTGAAACTTTCTTATGAATCAAGAGAGATTGAAACTCCTGTAGTAATCAAGAAAGACTGAAACTTTCTTATGCATCAAGAGATATTGAAACTCCTATAGTAATCAAACAAAAGAAATCGTAATCAAACACACAACATTCTAAAATCTTGAACTTCTAATCAGGACTGAAACCCAATTACTTAGTAGAAAAACACAATATCACCTGAATCGCAGCTTTTGATGAAAACCCCAAATCTCCAGAACTCGAATTCGGCGAAATCCCCATTGACTCTTCGATTGTGTATAGTAGCAGCGGAAGACCTAGGATCGACAATGGCAGTGAGCCAATGCCGGCGATGATACCATAATAACACTAAAGAATCAATGAAACCTTGAGAATGAAGAAATCGAAGAACAAGTAGTAAGAGGAAGAGAGAGAGACGTTTATGTATTCAATGGATAATAGAAAGTTTTGTTTTTACATGATTCTGCTTTAAGTCTCTAAACAAAGCTTATATAGAAACTATGATGAGCAGATTTACACTTTTACCCTTTTAACTAACTCTAACTGTTTTTCAACAAACTCAATCTAATTCAAAGTTATTTGGTTAATACCTTCCTCGTCAGCGAAGCATAGCGATGTTGTATTGCATTTTCCTCTCTTTCTGTCATTTCAGATCTTGGCATTTACATCGTTTTAGATATCGGCCGTTTCAGATTTCAATTACTTAACAGTAATTGTTCTACATAATTTGAAGAGAGAGAAAGGGCTCAGAGAGATAGAATGGCAATGAAGTTTCGCGAATGGTGAGAGGATCGACGGCGGTGATGGGTGGTGTGGTTGTCCGGAGTTATTTTCACTGCTACTTTTTGTAAATTTTATTTTTCATATTTTTTATTTAATTTATGAAAAACAAAGATGTTAATTAAAATTGAAGTTAAGTTGAAGGACATGTCAAAAAAATTAGGAAAGAGACACAAAAGAGAAGGGGAAGTCGGGATAGCAAACCCTTGGCCGGGTGGATAGAGAGTATGATTGGAATTGTTTTTTTTTTTTTAAGGAAAACTAATGAAAATGCTTGAAAATTTTGAGTTTTAATGATAAAGACAAAATAAAGGGTAAAGTGAATAGTACCAGATTTGACTTTTTAGTGTAAAAATGTGGTTTTTCATTAAAGTGAAGAATATCGCGAGCTTTTTGTTAAAACTTTTTTTTTTTTAAAAGAGAAATGTTAAGGATATTCTTTTAAAAGTGAGTCACTTCATGTTTTTGATATAATTCACGTGTCAACATTATAAAATATTGTGCAAAAAATAAATGGTAAAAAGTCTATAAACAGTTACACTTTCAAAAAATCTTCTCAGCATTTCTCTTTTTAAAATTCTGCCTCAATTTTATTTTGGAGCAGTGCTTTAATAGTTGCAATTGTCATATGTAACCAATGTTTAGATTAGGCCAGCAAACCACGATTAAGTCTTCGTCAGACCATGCTAAACTTGCACAGAAACTTCGGAACACATAACCAGAACCAAATTATTGAGTTCAACCAAAGTATGTTTATTTAACCAAAAAAAAAAAAAAAAAACCAAAGTATGTTTATAATCGTCTATAGCAATAAGAACACTAACATGATATTAATAATCAACATAAAAAAAATTTAACAATAAACCAAAGTATTAATTGCAAAATTATGTAATATATTACCCATAACTGATTCAATCTTCACTGCCTCTCTAAATCTTCTATACCATCCTCTTGTCCGCAAGATTGAATACGTCTTGAAGATCTGTCCCTACTAATCATTCTTCTGAAAGAACTCAACCTGGAAACCGATGAAGCATTCACTTTAGTACCAGCTGAGCTGGATTGAGCACCATCTGATGTCCCTTCCATACATGATGATGACAACACAGAGTTCACATGCTCTAACGGCGGAGCCGTTGGCATCCCGGCTGCGGGACCCTCTCGTGGCTCGAGATGCAGACACGGCTTCGCCTCTGTCCGGCAAATGGGGCAGGTAGTATGGGAAATCAGCCACTTGTCGATGCACTCTGCATGGAAACTGTGCTTGCAATTTGGAAGCAACCGTGCCATTTCTTCATTCTCTAACATGCTCAAACACACAGCGCACTCTATTGCGTTGTCATCCCCGCCATCTCGGCCCTCCGCACGTCTGAACACGAACATGGGCAAGGCGGCAATGACGGAGGGCTCGAGTCCAATTTTGGGCAGCTCAACGGAGTGGACATGAGCCATGGTTGACCCCAAATGACGACGTATGGACGCTCGGCGAAGCACCTGGCGTCGGAGGACACACCTTGCGTAGGTATGAAGCAAGATTACTAGCAAAACAACGATGGATAATGAAATGATGGATATGACCATGATCTTGCTGTTCAAGTTGTTCGAGTTTTTGTGAGGGAAGAATGACAGATCGGCCTCGTCATCCTCGAGGAGGCGCATCGGAATTGTAGGAGACAAGAAAGACATAATCCCTACTTCTCCTCCTCCAGAATCCGGATGAATTTGTGAGCGAGAAGAGAAGCCGATCGCAAAAGTTAATTTTGTGTTTTTAAGCTTAGAGTCAGAGTCGGAGAACTTCTGCTTGGTTTTGGTTTCGGTTTGAACTTGTGAGTTGAGAAATGGGTATTGAAACAAAACAAACCAAATATAACTGCTCCTAATTTTTTAAAACGACTATTGACTGTTGACTTATTTCTTTCTTTCTATATTAGTTTCTCTTTGGAAATTCAACTTTTATGATTTTTCATATATTCGTTTGTCACCTTCGTACAAAAAAGGTAGGAAAATCTATTTGTTTATGTGTGGGAGAGAACATCAGTTTGTTTAGAAATTAATTACCTTGGGACTATGGGATCAAATCTTCTCCTCCATTTTGTATTGGGACCATGATTGATTGATAAGTGTTAAGTTTATGACAACAAAGTTAATGAGTGTTAAGTTTATTAATACATGTCAATCAATACAAGAAACCATATATAGTCTACACACAAAATGAGTTTAGAAGATTGGTTAATTCTCTAATTACCATCCATTTTTTTAAGAGAAAACTAATGAAAAGGGCTTGAAAACTTTGAGTTTTAATGATAAGGACAAAATAAAGGGTAAAGTGAATAGTACAAGGATTGACTTTTTAATGTAAAAATGTGGTTTTTCGTTAAAGTGAACAGTACCAGATGTTTTTCGTTAAAGTTCCCATTTTTTTAAGGGTAATGTTAAGAAGATTAAATTTAGAGACTAATTTTTGGAATTGGTTTAATATTTAAGCATTGATAAACATGTTCATTCCTATTAATGACACATCATTTAATTTATAAATTTAATATATCTAGCATTACCTTTTTTTTTAATCCAAGATTACTATCCATTTGTTGTGGAGATTGAGGTGATCCTACTACGTGATGCACGCATGAATATTCCATAACACGTGAATGTCAATATACTTATTAGTTATTACAAGCTTTATTCTAACTTAAAGTAATCTGAACAGCATGGCGATGAGTTCGAGCTCGAGTACATACGGAGCGAGCACTTCATTCAATTTATCCATGATATTTTGTGGGATAATGCTATTCACTTATTTTAATCTGTCACATATTCTTGTTAGTGATATTTTTCAATTCATTTAATTCGATGGTCTAAAACTAAAACAGTGTGTGAAAAATAAAAATGAATGGGTGAAGGGCACTAATCTATTTTGTAATACTAAATCATTTTTAAATCCATTTTATTTCCATTTGAACTTTGTTCTTTGCCCCTTGAGAAAAAAAAATATAAACACACAGACAGGGTGAAGGTTGACTGAAGATGGCAAAAAATTAATTGAAACAGTGTATGCGAAACGCTAAGAGGATTTTTAAGGGAGAACTCTCTATAGATTCTCTGTCATCTCACAGTTAAATGTGAAATTTCGTGTTAACATCATAAAGTTTGTGCAAAAAACATGTAATGACAAAGAACCTTACTTGTGAGACAATCACATTAGCATTTCTTATAATGTATTGTAATTTGTACCATATATTCAAATTTATAAGGTCAACCATTTTTTTTTTAAGTGACCACCATATTTCTTATCTTTATAATATTTTAGCGGCAGACAGTGTTGGGAACTTGGAAAGCTAGAATATTGGCTTTCCCTTTATTTTCAAACCCTAATATAGTTGGATTCGGTGGCCTGCAAATGATCTAAATCGTGGACCAACTCCGTGTTTTATTATGAAGAAATATTGCCCATATATTAACTATTAAGTTGAATATTTATACGATAGTGTCGACATCAACTTGGTGAAGATTTCTATGTCAACAATTGGGACTTTAGTGCGTTAAATGGTGCTCATTCTTCTAATTCCTCAATTAATAAGACTTTAATATTTAATTCTTCGTTCATATTTGACTTTGTGCATATTTGCATGCGATGTACGCCATTGAACTAGTTGGATAATTAATATTCAAATCAACATAGTAGATTGTTATCGTTTGATAACGATTTTCTGTTGTTGTTAAACTAATTATAAAAGTGAGTAAGAGAGAGAAGGATGCACAGAGAGAGATGGAGAAGCGCTCAGGTGTTTGTAAAAATTGTGTTTCGCTCCCTGGTATTATGCCTTTATTTATGAATGAGCTTTTTTGCCTTACAAGTAATACAAAGCTCATACGGATTTGATCTCCAAATCCTATTAAGATACCTACTTTTACACAATCACATTCATAACCTAAGAAGTAGTTGCTTCAAGTCTTCATGATTAGGAGATGATGGTTTGTTGTCCTTAGATCTCAGCAAACACAGTGGTTGTAATCATGAGTCTGCCAATAGGGGTGCATAAAAGAAAGATAGTTTCACTAAAACCTGGCTACACCCAGTGAGACAAACTCATAGTATAAGAAGAAAAAGGTGAGTTAATGCAATCTTATAATGTGCCAATTAAACGAATATATATTTTTGGTATTGATGAAGATGGATGTAACTTATAACCGATGAGGAATCTGTTACCTGATGGGTATGTTATGGATAATCCCCAATGGTTAATTTGTGATTATGAATGTTAATTTTGTTGGTTATGGAGATGGATATAGCATTTCCATCCCAAAACCAAACTATTGACATCCCTAGATAATTAGGATGGTGAACCCACAAAGGTAGGGCCAGCCACGCTATGTACTTCAACGACTCGAATGGACATCGAGTACAACCCATTCGGCAGACATTTCATCTTCTCTAGAATACGCTTTTGTCCATGTTCATAGGAAGTTATGCAAAGATAATCCACTCCATTCTCTTTTGTGGTTTCGACATGATAACTGTTATCTCAAATATCCTTAAAGCTCAATAATGTTCTTCCAAATCCAGGATAATATAAGGCTTCTTGAATGGTAAATTTAAGAAGCCTTATTATTTTAACTATTTTTTAATTTTATACCTGATTGGCCGACTGACGTGCCGTCGTGCACTATAATTTTACTCGATGAAATTTTCGTTGGTATAAGTTCACCATATTATTTAATTATTAGGTAATTTAGCCAAAAGTCAATAAAAATTTTACTATTGCCCTATATCAATGACATATTTTTGTTTTGGACTTAATCAATGATATATTTTTATTTTTATTAATTAGGCATATGTCAATGATGAATACCACATAGGCTTTATGTCATTATAAATAGTTAGAATTTGACTATTATATCACTCTCTCTCTCTCTCTCTCTCTCTCTCTCTCTCTCTCTCTCTCTCTCTCTATAAATGCCATATGGGCTTGCTATTATAAATATGGATTTAGATCATCTTCAGATCAATTTTGTGGAGATCCTCCAGACTGATGTATCTCATCCATTGATACAAATCCAACGACCAAAATCTCTTATCCTTCCTCTTTTCACTTCAACTATTCTCTTTCTACTTCGAAGCTATCAACCTCGAACCACCAACTCCCCAAATTCCAAATTAAATTCAACCCCACCTCAAAATCAGCCCCAACACTGCCACAACCACAAATTACAGGTCCCTCACCTTATTATGACAACCCGTCCTTACATTTACAATTTTATAAATTTCAAAAACATGATTGGACAAAAATGCCCTTAGAGGCAAGGTTTTTTACTCTCGTTGACCTTTGGTTAGAGACATGTATGACATATTCTTTTAGCGTTTCCTCGTAGTGCTTGACAGTATGAACGTGTAGGCGTGAACGGATTTCAGTTTGGAGATAAAATGAAGATTTTATGAAACTACGTAGCTTAAGGGATATTTTAAATATTGTACATTTTATCTATGTTCGTGGGACCCATCCTTGCTGGTCCCCTCTCCCATTTAGCCGCGTGTCCTACTTTTCCCTTAGCTCTCTATCACTCTCATCTCTCTGTCACTCTCACTTCTCTCTCGTCTCTCTATCCCAAGTATTTTCCTTTTCACTTTCAGACCTCATTTTTCCTGAGCCCTCTCACACCCACACACCGGTACACCCTCAAGGACACCCCAGTGACATCTCAACGCCACCATCATCATCGGTCTGAATAATTTCCTTCCTCCTCATCTGTGAAGCTCAGGAGAACCCGACAATGTCCCAGCGAACCTTAGGTTTTTCGATTCAAGATTTGGTCGAATCCAGCTGTCTCACAACGAGCTTCAGGTAAGGGACTCTTTCTTTTGTCCCACTCTTCGATTTGGTAATGAAATCGAGTTCTTGGGTTGATGATCAACACGATGGGAGCTTCCCAAGCTCCAACCTTATTCCCTGGTGAAGAAAGGGGCCTTCGAGCCCAAACCCTAGAGACAAGCCCTTCGGGTGGTGCCAAACCCGGGCCTTAGGCCTGTTATCCTTAAAACCCAACCTATCTAGTTTTATTTTTATTTAATTATTTTTCTTTCTGAAACCCAAAACAATTGGGTCAGGCTTTCAAGCCCAAGGCCTTGACCCAAAACCCTTTCGGTCTCAGGCTTTTGGGTTGTGTGAACTTGGGCTTAAGCCCAGATGACCCAAGCACAAAACCTTAGCAGGCCAAAGCCCAGGACCCAACCAAGCCCAAACCCATTTAGGCCCAACTCGGTCCAACCCAAACCCTAGACCCGTATACTGACCCGGTCAACGCTGACCGTTGACTTTGACCGTCAAAGTTGACCATTGACTTTTTAGGTTGGCTTTTTTGGGTTTTGATCTGAGACCCCCTAGGCTAATTTCGACGTCCCGCACCCGTTTCCGACATCCGTTTTCCCAAATTCATTCGTTTGGATAGAGTTTTATTAATTGGACCCTTTATGTGCTTAAGTGCAATTACTATCGGAGATTTCAGCTTCCTAGCTTGAACGGATGTGACTTCACAAGTATCTGTGAGTGGGTCATTTATTTTTATAAGTATTTGCATACTTGATAGTTTCCAGTTATACTTTGAAAAGAATTTACTATGTACGCCTTGCTTAGACTAAAGTTACATGAAGTAGCGAAATGACGAAATTTAGGAAATTATTCTGAATCCTAAAGGTCCATAGGTATGTGTGAGATACCATTATTATATTTTATAGCTATGATTAATTAATGTTACAAGAACTGTTGTGCTGTTGTGAAAATCTAAAATAATCATACTGGATGCGTAGGTAAGTTACCTTGTTGACTAGAATTATTGAATTGTTATGGCATGAATATATTTATGCTACCTGTTCATCATTGTTGCACCTCAATGTTAGTACTCACCCTAGAGCCAGGGCCAGGGCCAGTCCTTCACGTATATGTTCACATCCGCACCATTCATTCACCTTGGATCCAAGTAGGTGCCAGTCTTGTCGTATAGATTGCACTAGGCAATTCCGACTCGTATGTGCTCGCACTTCAGTGCCAACCTTCATGTGATCGTAGTACTAGAGCCCATTGATTACACCTAGTCCTGTTCGTTTCAGAAATTATCTGTACGAACTCGTGTGTCAGCATAGGTTAATGAGCATTCGTTATAATGTGTTTACTATTTCGAGATTATGTGATATTGGTCACCTTGTGCTTATTTACAATAGCTGTGCCTTATTGATTTCTTGAGACCTTGCAGGCCACGACAAGTATTTTCTTATTATACATAGTACGTATATTTTTGGAAACTATAATTGGTTTTACGGCGAGGGGTTATAATGCTTTTTAAAAGGCTTTTACAAAACGTTATTTTCTGACCCACTAAACTTTGTTTTTCGCCCCTACAGGTATAGTAGTTGTGCTTATGTGTAAACAAGGATTCTGGCAAATCTCAGGAGATGGTTATCTTCAGTGGTATAACCTTCATCCTATTTACTATACTGTCTTATGCTTTGACATTACGTGTGAAAAGGGTTCAATCCCACTCACCAGCGCACTCTTTTGATTACGCACTTTTAGGTTTAAAATTTATTCACATCCATTTTCTACTACACTACACTTTATGACTTCGTCACCCTCCAGGTGTCGGCCAGCACAACTTGATTCGGTGTCCAAGTGGACATTCAAGGTTGAGGTGTGTCATTACCCTCTCCAAAATCAGCCTCACCACTACCACATCCCTCAATTGCAAGTCCCTTGACTTTAAAATCTTAGATGATGTTAACGAAACAACAAAGAGAGGGGTCGTGCAAACCAATGTCTTTTGGTTGCAGAGATCTTTTTTCATAATTATGGAGAGAGAAATCTCAAAGATGATGAAGAAGAAAGAAATGACAAATAAAAAGCTAAAATAATAAGGGATAGTGAACAAATAAATTAGACTTCGAGCACATATGACTTGCAATCGAATTTGGAGTTTGTTAATAATGGAGGGGTGTGGGGGTGCAAAGGATAAATAGGAGTTGAGGGCGAAAAGAGGCGGGGGAAGAGGCTTCGGCCGTTGCGTTTCTATTCCTATAAAATTGATCATGAGATGATCTAAATCCTATAAATAGTTAGAACATGTATATCTTATCACTCTCTCGCCCTTCGTTTACATGGAGGAGTCTATTCAACTGAAAAAAAAAAGGAACCAGGAAACGAACATTGCATTGCAATGTCTGAATCAAAATGTAAAAAACAGAACCAGGAAACAGACACTGCATTGCAACGTCTGAATCTAAATGTAAAAATATAAATAAAACAAAATAAAAAAACAGACACTGCATTATAGTGTCTGAATCTAAATTAAAAAAATAGAGCTAGGAAACAGACACTGCATTACAATGTCTGAATCTAAATGTAAAAATCAAGAGTCACTGAGGTGTGAATTATTGGAGATGTGTGAGTGATGGAAAAAATAAAACCAGGAAACGGACACTGCAATGCAGTGTTTGAATCCAAAAGTGAAAAACAAAACTAGGACACGGACACTGCATTGCAGTGTCTGAATCCAAATGTACAAAGGAACATGTAGGAGGCATGTGAGTGATGGAAAAAACAAAACCAGTAAATGGATGTTGCAACGCAGTGTATGAATCCAAATGTAAAAAAACAAAATCAAGAAACAGACACTGTATTGCAATGTTTGATCCATATTGACTTATTCCAAATATAAAACTATAAGAAAGGGAGTGTTAGTCGAAGTAGATGTCAGCTGTAGTGGCAGATTTTGTAATTTTTGTTTATTTTAAATGCATTTAAATATTACAATACATGATTAACCTATTTATAATTAACATAATATTGTTGATCTATTGTCAATATTGTAACTTTTTATTGATTTTTCACAAAATCACCCTTAATTATTTTTAGCATAATGATGCCCCACGGACTATTTCGTTGGTTAATAGGATATTTTGCAAATGGTGCAACACAATTTTGCTTACATGGATTGATACAAGTCATTAGATTAATCCAATGGTTAACATTTTGTTAAATTCTTGAAATGCACCGATGTTAAATGTAGAGACTTGGGATCATGTTCATGTTGTCTATAGGTGTCAATCACAATCGGCCACTATTTTAAATGGATGTTAAAAGTGAATTTTTGGGGAGGTTTACAAGAATCTCCCGCCTGGACATATCCACAAGAATTTCTAGAAGGTGTGATTTGCAAGTTAAACAAGGTTCTTTACGACCTCAAGCAGTAACCATGAGCTTGGTATGCACAACTTAATTAAACACTCATACAACTTAATTAAACACTCATAAATATAGGGTTCAAAAGGAGTAATGTTGATTCTTCGTTGTTAAGAGAAAAGTTTCATGTACAATAGTGGGATAAATGTTTTTTTTGGGTCAATTAGTGGGATATATGTTGATCGAACATCTCAAGTACTTTCAACACAAGAAGTTTTGTATTAAAGATTTGGAGTTTCTGAAATACTTTCCTGGAATTGAGATTACTTATCAAACAAGGGTTTATTTCTGAATCAAAGAAAATAAGTGCTAGACCTACTACAAGAAACTGGGAAGCTTGGCTCAGGACCAGTTCCAACTGATGGCAGTAAGAAGCTTGGGTTGGATGGAGACTTATTATCTGATATTGGCTTGGGCAGTACCAAAGAATGGTCACTTGGTTGATTTGTTTCACTAACACGACCTAATAGCAGTTATGCAGTGAGCATGGTCAATCAAGAACAAGCCATATGCAAGCAGTGTATCAAAACCTTTCAATATTTAAAGGGATCTCCAGGAAGAGGGGTTTTAATGAAGAAGAATAATCACACCCAAATTGTTGGATATACTAATGCAAGTTGGGCTGGATGTAAAGTTGATAGAAAATCAACAACCGGATATTGGACTTTCGTTGGAGGAAATTTAGTAACTTGGAAGAGCAAAAAACGGAATGTTACTGCTCGGTTTGCAACCAATGAAATGAAAACCCTGCTGATGTTTTCACCAAAGGTTTGCTGTCAAATAGACTTCAAGAAATATTATCCAAGCTTGGCTCGAATGACATCTTCGCTTCAGTTTTATAGGGAGAGTTGAAATTACTGAAGTGTTTATTTCTTGGTTGGATATTACTGGAAAGATGAGAGGTGTGGAGTCTCCTTGGAAGCTGGCGCGACGTCTCTTAGAAGTTGTTTACATTAAATTAGGTAGCATATGCTAGCTAGCCGTTGTACCTATACTCATATAAATTTGTGGGAGCTCTCAAGTTGTTCTTATGAATAAGAATACGTAGGCCTCTTTGTCGAACCGTGTATAAAACATTGTGTTCTTTGATTATTCTTTCCTTTTTCCACAGAAAAAAATTGGGTTGCTCTAAATTTTGACAAACTACGTAATAACTTACATTAAATTTATCTTAATTTTCTGAAGGAGGGAGTATTCAAACCCAAGATGCAGTGCTTATAGACAAAGTCTGTATCCACGAAAACAATCCACCACTTGCAGGTTGCTCTAACAAAATGAGATTGAAATTCAAGGTTGGACTAAAATTCTGACCATAAAATGTGTTTAGCAAAATTGGATTCTTTTAGTTGAGTGCTGAACTGAGTTGATTCTCCAACAAATAAAGTTTCGATTCTGTTATGTGCTTTTTGAAAATGCTATCACCTTTTTTTCATTTAATTCCGTTTGGACAGTAACATATTACAAGCATTTTCTTGCTGAAAACAAAAGATGAAAACATTTACAAGCATATACTTATGGCAAAGGATCCACCCATGTAAAAAATAAATAAAAAGCAGGCGAGATAAATTGTCATAAAAAAGGAAAATAGAAATTGTTATTACTAGTCCAAGATAGTCATCGGTGTCATCGTACACTTTGTTCTTCGTTCGTTTGCGCTGAGTACTTCAGCCATTTGTCATATAGAAGGTAAATTGAACTGGATCTAACAAACCCCGATGGTATTTGTAAAGGATTAAATTAATAGGCTGAGAATAGGAAAGCAATGTGTTATAGATCGATCATTCAAGGGAAATTTGAGCATGCATATCTAACTACAAATTTAGTGTTAAGAACTGCAGTCCCTGTTTGTTAGTGTTGGAATTTCAACAGTTTGATGGGGATCGAGCAAACTCGAGGAGGTTCAAGTATTTCTCGAGGGACTCGTACGTGAAGGTTCAAGTGCTAATAATTCATTGAAAGATTACAAAAATCAAATACTCCATGTATGTACGTAGATGTATACGTATTACTTACATAAATTGTACTTAGGTTGGTTGTGGAAGGAAGCTTGTTTCCAGTTTCCACAACAGATGAGGATGAAGCAAGCCATTGACTAACTAGTGCTTCCCTTGATGTGGAAAAAAACCGAGAAAAGAACGAAACAACTTTGCTGTTATAGAACAGTTGAACCAAATTAAAGTAAAGGGGAATTTCTACAGGATCATAAGCAGTAACATAACCATGACGTACGGAAACATCCTCGTTAACCATGTGTCACGGTTACCACAAGTATTCGAAAACATAATATAAATAAAAAAAACTGAGCCAAACGAATCTGCCCCACCTAAATAAACAAAGAAGAAAAGAATGTTTGAAACTCAAACCAGTTACTGTTCTTTTCTTTGCTTTTCCTCGGCAGACCATTCAGTTGGACTTAATCTTTCTTAACTACGTAGAATCTGCAAAATCTACACAAAAATGAAAAACAATGTGATGTTATTACTTTTCTGCGAACATGCTTAGTAACTAATTAAAGTAGCAAACAGAAACTGTATGAATAATCCAGCCAACAGTTTGAATTTGATAAGGGGCCGTTTGATAAAACTGAAAACTCGTTTGGTAACTGAAACAAAAAGCTAAACTGAATGTCAAATTTTGGAAACTCAAAGGAATGGCTTACCTAGTAGAAAATGAAGATGGATGATGTCAAAGCTGGCGGGTTGAATTGAGAGAGGAAGTGGAAGACGGTCGATCTGAAATAGTACCATTCTCAGCCTCCTCACCTTGAATGCAGAAGACAGGCGAGGTGCCGTCAGAGGTGCCGAAGCGGGTGCCAAAGATTGAAGAGTGCTGCTGCTGCCAAGCGCGTGTGGAAACTGATGGCGTAAAACTGGACTGAAGGGTACTCCCATGATTCCCATCACCCCCATGATTGTGAGGCTGAGGCTGAGAATATGAGTGAGAGTGTGAGTTGAATACAAAGCCCCCATCAAGTCCTCTGTTTTCATTGCTCCATGCCACCATTCTCTGATAACTGGAGGAGTCAAATCCAGTTCCCACTGCGGCGGCGAAAAGGGCTTGAGAGGACTGCTGAGTGTGAGTGTGATTGTGATGAATGTTTAGGCCTTGGTCTTGGAAAGAGTGGAGAGAGAGGCCAAGGTCTTGGGTAGTTGCTGAAATTAGATGGGGATCGGTTGGGTAACTACGGAAATCGTCAACGGAGGAAGCAGCGGCGGCGTTGCTACTAGTGTTTGTGGGGAAGAAGGACTTCATGGTGTCAGCTATGTTGTCTGAGTCTAGAGATGGCGGAATGTTGAAGTTCGAATCGTTGTCTGATTGCCTTTGCCTTTGGAGCTCAAAGTTAAAGTTGTAGCTGGTGGAGGACTCTGATTGCTGCTCAGCTGCGGCAATTACCATATCATTTGGATTTGGTCCATTTGGATTTGGATTTGATGATCGAAACGGATCATCAGCTTCGGCAGCATGGTTACTAGTAGTGATAGGATGCCAAGGTGGAAGCTCAACGAGCTTGTCAATGGAAGATTTGGCCTTCTTGATGAGCCAGTCCACGGCTTTACTGGGTCTATCATATCCGAGGCGGTCTTGAACATCATAGAATTGGATGGCAGTGTGGGCGGACAACCGGACACGGCGGTCTCTGGGGCCTTTGGCGGTGTAAATCTTGCTGTGACGGTCTTTGCGTCCGGTGGATCGAACAATGTGGCCGCCTTGGACTTCTACAATCTCTCCCCCACAACCCTCCATTCCCATATTATTCTCTCCTTTTTTTTTTTTGGTATTATTTTCTGCTAATTGTTTTGGTTGAGTGTGGCCGTTGCCGTCACAATTCTAACACTATCTGCTTCTGCTGCTGCTGCTGCTAATCCCGAAAACTCACCAGACCAGATTCCAAACCCCAATAGACGCTACAAAAATCCACACTTCACAGGCTGCAGGCACAGAAATTTTACACCACTTTTGATCCTACAGGTTTATAGATAAGGTAACTAACTTCTTGGTCCATAAAAAGGAGAGATTCTTGTGTGCACGGTTGAAGTGGTGTATCCAATTAATGATACACTGATGACGGGTGTGCAGAGAGACTATTGGTGGGTGAGTTTTTCTGTGGCCACAGAACCACCGAATTTAAAGAGAAAGAAAACAGAAAATGAATTAAAATGGAAAATTTAAGCAACTACCCAAGTTGTAGCTAGTATTTATTGGGTATAAATTATTTAATATACCCATCAAGAAAAAGGGAAATAATAAAGAGAATCACAGCAGAACTTAGGGGTCTAAAGTAGAAAAACAAATTTCTGCAAATTGAAACTGGAATATGAGATTTTGAGATGTAGGAAAGAGAGGGCGGTGACTCCTAGTCCTAGCTTGGTCCAGACAGAGAGAGAGAGAGAGAGAGAGAGAGAGAGAGGTGTGGATGAATGTGTAAAGGAGGATATTAGAAATCTCACCCCCACAGGCACAAACCAGTATAACAAGGGAAGCGATCCCATCCGGATCTCCCCCACCAAATCCTAAGAATTAAGAGATCCGAACCCTTAAAATTTAATTCAATGGCTACAAACAAGGAGCTATCTAAAAGTTATAATAATTGTAGCCGTTGAATCAAATTTCAAAAGTCCAGATCTCTGGATCCTTAGGATTTGGTGAGAGAGATCCGGATGGGATCTCTTCCCGTATAACAATAGCAGGTCCCAACCAAACTCAACTCCTTTATAACAATGTTTGGTTACTAAAATTTCTCCTCAAAACACTACGTGATTGATTAAAAAAACTTCATGCTCATAACTGAAACTGTTAATATTGTAAATCTTTATGTAAAAATTATTTATGCAAAAATATCAATAAAAAAAATGTTTGTTTAGTCAATAAACTATAAAAAAAAAGAAAAAAAAATAAACGGTTAGTAATTCTTGTTTATACAATTTGAACCTACCACAAAACGTTTTAAGGGAAATTCTTGTTCATGCTTGGAGTAACTTGTCATGCACATGCAATTATAAGAGTTTTAGGTAATTAGCTATGAATCTATGATTAGAGTCATGGTTTGATAGAGAGGTGACTGTCGAGGCTACCACTTTCGCGCACACCTTTTCAAGGTTTTGACAATGATATCTAACAACTTTTCTAGTTCCTTTACTTTACTATCTTTATTTTGCAAGAGTTCTACCACAAAAAGATGTATTCTCACAGCTAAAATAAACGACAGACGTGCTTCCTTCTGCTCCACTTCATCAGTACGTTATATGCATTTTGCACTCCCCAGATTTGTCACATGGCTGTCGTAACATTTCACCATTTTTGGTGGATGATTCAATTGTTTAACAATGATTGAAATTAATTTAGAATAGGTTGTAAGATTATGTCATTTTAGACTTCCCAACTTCTTTTATGATTTGATAATTCGACACGAAAAAACACGACATAATAAGTTTTGGATCAACACGTTAATTAATCAGGATTGTTATCAAATCATCTGTTAAAAATTCATTCTTAACAAATTTACCTGCGGGTAACTCGTTTCAACGGTTAAGAAAATTAGTTTGATAATTTATATTACTAAAAAAACTTACTAGTTAATATAATACCCATAGTATTTAATCTCACATAAGTGAGATTGAAAATTCCAGCACTTTAAATGTAACAAAGCAATTTAAAAATACAAAAGCACATTAAAAATTCATAATAATTATTTACGAGTGTAAAAAATGTGAAATTTTTTTGCATACACTCGCAATCGCATCTTGTACACTTTGAGTGGTACGTCGTTGTTTGAATTTTTAAAACCATACAAACCCTCATGAACATTGTTTTTAGAGGGAGTTCAAAATAAATAAAAATTCATAATAATTAATGTACGAGTGTGAAAAAGGTGAAGAAAAAATATATATAAAAACGCTTGTGATTGCATCCTCTACGCTTAAGATGGTTACATCATCATTTAGATTTTCAAAACCCTCATGAATAGTGTTTTTTGTTTGAGTGCACTAGTAATAAAAATTCATAATAATTTATGTAGAAGTATGAAAAATGTAAAAAAAAAAAAATAATATATATATATACAATCACTTGTAATGCAAGTTTTACAACTTTCGTGAACGGATCAACTCCGAAATTCGACACCATCCATGGTACACTATAATATATATCTTTCATATAATATAATGCTATTGTTTTATTTCTTTTCATAATTATTTTTGATAAACTATTCATAATTTGAATGGTTTATAACGTTTGGTTTTTCTATGCTTAGTTTATGTGAAAGATAGTGCTAATGTGGAATACATTAAAACATCATCAATATAACCCTTGAAGATAATATATCAAGCTAAAGTTCTAATATCATTTCGCTTGGTAATTGATGAAAATCGAAGGGTTTTGTGGTAAAAAACACAACGTGCAAGTTTTGAGTCTCATTGGCAAAGTTCTAACTTTTGAGAAAAGCTCCATAACCTTGAAAAAAAAATTCCCATCATTTTGCATTTAAAAGATATTTTGTAGTAATGTACTAAACTTTTTTCATTAGGTTCTTATTTTGGGTTATGTAATACTTGAAAGACAAATGTGTTTTTATGTTTTGAAGTAATATTTATGCAATAATAAGTTATATGGATACAAATCTAGTAGTAAATTTTTTGTTTGTTTATGTATGGAAGTGAAATATATTTTCTTTAATGAATCTTGTCATAATACCCGTTAATATTAACGGCTCAAGTTTAAGTCGGGTCATATTATCATTCATTTTAACAAGTATTACATAACAAAACCTATTAAAATATTGAGTATGTCACGAAATGAACACAATAAACATGACACGAAAGTCATGTCTGTCACTTGTCCATATCTATAATAAATCTTGTTAAGGTTTTCGAGTACAGTTCTGTTGCTCCCATTCCGTAACGTGTCCATGGATTTTGGTTGCTCACATTGTGCAACATCTCTTTATGTTATCTTCAGCCTCATCTCTGAATTGCCCATAAATGTCAGGATACCAATTTCGTCAACTCACACTAATCATCTTTGTCCTTTCCATGCCCCTAAGCTCTCAGTTTTCATAAAATTAGTGTTATCTTCAATATCTTACTTTACCAAGTTGTTAGAGAGTGAAGAAGTTAAGATTTCACCATAAGATCAACTTACAATATGCGGAGTAACTCAATTACTTATAAGCACATGTAAAATCTCATCTTTTCTTGATGCATGATACTCTCAACACGCCACCTTATGTGTGGCAAATTTTCAAGCCTTGGACGTCACACATGGAACAACCTGCTTTAATACCATGAAGAAGTTAATGTTCCACCATAAAATCAATTGACAATATGAGAAATAGTTTTTATAAGCACATGCAAGATCTCATCTTTTCTTAACATGGGATTGATACTCTCAGTAGAGAGAGCCTCAATTTTCATAAAATTAGTGTTATCTTCAATGTCTTACTTTAACAAGTTGTTGAAGAGAGTTGGGCAAGAAAATGAAAGAACAAAGGCGGAGGCGTCGTGAAAAAGAATGGAGAAAGAGAGGCACACAACACCCAAGTTGCTTTAGATGTGGGTATGCTTCATGAAGAAAGCCAACAACAAAGTGATGATTCGTGTATCGGTCGTGCACCGAACATCGACAGACTTAAGACACACCGGGGGAAAATCTTTTGGATTACTTTACCTCTAATTGTGGAGAGATTTTTTAGTGTGATTGTCACATCAGGTACACCACGTATCCTTATATAAATAGTAGGATATATGTGTTAAAATGTTAATAACTTAAAAATTAAAATTTTCCATTTACATAAAAACACGTAATGTATTATCCGTATTCCGGTCACAACTAAAAATTTCTCCTAATTACATGAACTCCGCTAACAAATTTCGAGCCTGATATATAATGCAATTTCATCTGTTAAAAAAAATCATGCATGATGTTTTGCAATTATGACTCATATTTCGTGCATAACCCCATGGTTGTCATAAGTTGAGGCTTCTTCCAGAGCAAAAACTTACAACCACCTTCAGGGTGCCTGTGTATCATGCATTTGCAGGTGCGGTATATATGGAACCACAAAGGATGAGCAAATCAACAATCTTATGCCTCGTTTGACATGCCGTATAAAGCATCGGATATGATAAATAATACAGGAGCAATTATTTGGTGCACTTGTGTACTAAATAAGCACCCACTTAATTATCTGGTCTATTCAACATATGGTTGGGGTCGACTATGGTCCGACATATTATTTGATGCACAGATTAATCTGACACAGCACCAAACGTCGAACTAATTTAGTCAGTACTATCTAATAATTATTTATTTTATCCGAGTAAAATAGTTAGTATAGTTATAGGTACCAAACGAGACTTTATAATGCTTGAATCTTATCACTAAAATAAAATATTCAAATCGAAGAACGAAAAAATGTATCTGTCTTCTTTTCTTTTCTTGTCGTACGAGTTGATAAAGTGCTAACCGTGTGCAAAGCTAGAAGTCTTTTTAAGAAAGTATAAACCTACAATGCATAAAGTGCAAGCGTGATGCAACTGACACAAAAGCTTGGATAAGACCTTAGAAATCATGACCTCAAAGCCTCTATCATCATGAATTCTAAAGAACAGTCTGACAAAAAATAAGAGGAATTTCTGAAGCAAAAATGGGGGACAAAAAAAATACAAAAGGAGGAATAAAAATCAGAAATTGTAAATAGGGTGGCTATAAGAAAAATCATAAATTGTAAATGGGATAGCTATTCATACACATATTTTTACTTTTAATACATCTTTTGTTAATTTATGTCATTTGATTTTCTAAATTCAGTGGATCCGAAGGTCGCAAATTACATGGGTGTGTATGAAGTTCAAAGAGATGTGTGAATAGCACACCTCATTGTAAATTTTCTTTATAAAATGTTAGAGAAAATCACATTTTGCACATTGTTGTACAACTGGATTGCAAGTGATGTGTAGATACTATGTTATTTAATAAGTTTATCTCATGTTAGTTATATGCATCATTTAACGCATCATGTGGTAAACGAATAATACAAAAGTTTAACTTCCTTAACATTACTCTTTTTTATTTTTGTTTAAATTAGCCAGATGAAAAATCATTGAGACGCCTATTTGGCCAAAGAATTTGAAGAATATCATATTTCTAAATTGGTAAATGATTTCTCGTTGGACTAACAATTTTTATGAGGAAATAAAATGAGACTTGAAAATAAAAGAGACTTCCTCTTGCACCTAAGTTCCCAAAGCTTCTAACTTTGATTCCCCCTTCACCATTCTTGCTTTATAAAAGACCAATAGACGGTTGAATATTTAAAAAATAATGTGAAGTGGGCACATCGGGTTAATAGATTGTTAGTCCTATTTGAAATGGACCCATCATAATCATTAATTCATAATATAAATGGACCGATCCACAGTGTTTCCAAATTTGCCATAGCATGAAATCA